AGATGCAGGTCAGATGCTAAATTCCACATCTAACATCTAAATGTGATGCTCACTCTATTAGTGACAAAAAAATTAATGTCAAAAAATTGAATCTCAATGCATTGTACATGGAAAGCAGCAGGGCCAAGCAAATTAAAGATGAAATACATTATTATCTTCCACAGTTTAAAGACTGTAGGGCTAATAATAATATATGCATTAACAATTAACAATGTGATTATTTACAAAATATTTATATAATTGTAGCATGTCACATCAAATAAAGTTATTTTCTTTTCTAAAAGGCATAGAAGCATATTCTCTGTCTCATATATGTAACCATCATCAACATTAGCGATAATCACGTATGCACACTGGAAGAGTAATACAGCAGGAGCTAGATCTGCTTTGAACATTGGACACAACGATTGGTCTTCCTCGTGTCTATGTAGGTAGAATATGGACTACTAAGAGCTTGGAAGAGACCCACAGAGACACACAAAAAATTTACTACATAGCACTGAGATATCACAGAAACAGCTTCTGATAGGTTTGACCTATGGCTTCATTTGTTCCTTGTGCCATCTCTGAAAGTGGCCCCCAGGAGATGTTTTAGGAGCAACAAGACACACGGTAGCAAAGGTACAATCTACCTCACTTAACTCCCTAAACAGAGCTTGATCTATGTCCTGAAATATTCATTCAGGTTATACTCCATCACTTCATAGAATAAAACGTTTCAGTTAGAAGGATGAAAGTGAGGTGTGTACACATTTTGCTTATACACACGAAGAACAATCCCTTTAACACATCAGACTTGTAAAATCACTGCTAGGACTGTTACTATTTAGATGGTCTTTAGCCAGAGGTAATTTTGACAAGAGGAAAAATTCACACTCCTTTGTGGAAAAATGTTAAAGACAGCCAGTCAAGACTTTTTGCAAGCTGTAACATCAAACTCATTTTTCTCAATGAATGTGGTGACTGTTTTGCATACTAGACCAAGGTAAAATAATGCTCCATGAAGCTTTTTATCAGACTAAGGATTCAACCTATAATTTTGCAAAGATTTATTTGAATATGTAGACTTTTAACTTAATGGTAACTTTTTTTAAAGTCAGCCCCTGAGAGCTCATAGACCACTGTCTGGCACTGGCTGATAAACGCCCACTTTCCAATAACATCTATTAATTGTTATAAGAAGGGACAAACGAAACTGAGCTTACCTATTGTGTTAGCCCTGGCTGAAGGACTAGCTAATGCTGCTGGCATGGATGACTTTAGTGAACTGGCCCCACTGTTTATTCTCAGAGTTGGCATATGAGGAGAGGTGGGTGATGTGGGAGACTTGCCATCAGATGTCTTGGGTTTGGCTGAAAGGTTCAGAGGCTGGGCCACTTCATCCTATGACGAGCAGAGGAGAAAAGAACGTTACCAAAAAACTGCTGCTGGCACACCACCGCCCAAGCAAAGACAGTTGTTTTCAGCTCATATGAACTTCTAAACCTGAAAGGTTGTATGATATACATTAAGATCAAATGTGATAGCATCTTGTCATTTCAGTGTGGAACTGAGATGACTGATAAACTGGAAAATTAGCATGACATGATCAGAACACATCCTCCATTTGCACTTTGTATTTAAGAATTGTCTCTGAAGAAATTATTCACATCAACAAGATACATTCTTCTACCATGAAAATTAAGTGCATTTTTACAGTTAGATTTTATTGTTATTTTATTTAAACTTTATGTGGATGAATTAAATAAGAACTGAAGAGCATTTTCACTTAAAATTCAACCACTATCACCCAAACTGGGCAAATGTGTTTCACTGAATGGGTTTTCAGTTGAGATTTGTTGTTGGTCTTCTGTTTTTTGTTTTTTTGTTTGTTTTTTTTTTTTTTAAATTTGTGCTTTCCTCTGAACTTTTCCAGGCTTAGAATTTCAAGCACAAAAATATCATAGGAAAGAGATACTTCTCTTCCACCACAGAAAGAGAGCATAAAGAACCTGCCCTTTCTTTCCACAAAATTTGAAACAATAACATGGATAATTCTGCATAAGCCCCCAGATTCTTTCATCTTCTGCAGAGCTGGACTTCAAGATTTCAGTAATTATTATTACGCAAAAACAGAAAAATTGGGTGACATTTTTTTGCAGAGTAACTGGAATTATCCTAAACCTGGCTTGATTACAGAGAGTAACAGACAGTGCTGTAAAACACATTAAAATTCTACATCATGTATTTCTGTTTGACCAAAATAAAGTACAGTAAGGGAAAAAAACAAAGGGAAGGGAAGGGAAGGGAAGGGAAGGGAAGGGAAGGGAAGGGAAGGGAAGGGAAGGGGGGAAAAGAGTTTGATGAAGGGGGGGGGAAGGGAAGGGAAGGGAAGGGAAGGGAAGGGAAGGGAAGGGAAGGGAAGGGAAGGGAAGGGAAGGGAAGGGAAGGGAAGGGAAGGGAAGGGAAGGGAAGGGAAGGGAAGGGAAGGGAAGGGAAGGGAAGGGAAGGGAAGGGAGAAAAAGCTTTTCAGCAAGGCAGATATTTCAGAAGTGATTTTAACTGACTTTTAAATAGCCAGAACGAACAGCTATGGCATTAGATCCACCCATCACATACGAGTTTAGCTTTCCTCTGACACCGTGACTTAGGAAAGCCATCCTTTAGCTACAGGAGGTGTTACATCACACAACTGGGCTTCGGCTCTAGGCACTGAAGAAGCTGATTCTGATCTCCCTAAGTTGCAAGTACATTCACTTTATAGCATTATTCCTAACTTATAGCAATGCAAAGCTGACTGGAATTAGCCTCATAATGTTTGAGTGTTTTACTGTTACCACTAAGGTATCTGTATATATATACAATACATATATATATATAATACTGATTCTTCTCCACAGAGGGTGGTGTGCTGCAGTAAAGAAGGAATTTTATAGTTGCCTATTGCTTGTGGAAGGATGATGTAGATGTGTGTCTCCAAACACAGGGCAATTCTGCAAAGCGCTGTCATATAACTTTTCCATTACCCTAAAGAAGCAAGCTCTGAGCAAAGCCCTTTTGTTATACTTGATTATTTCTACACTTTTGTAGTAGTCATGGTTAAAAATAAATTAAAGCTTAGGAAACAAATATATCTGGGCCATCAAGGACAAAGCTGTCATCATTGGAGTGGTACTGAAGCCATCCTAGATGCAACTTGTGCATAAAATAAAGGGGAAAAACGCTAACGCATAAAATGGACTTAGGAGCCTATATTCTGTATTCTCAGAAGCAACTTAGACACTTTGAAGGTAGAATTCTGTTGATCTTCTAGGAGACTTAAGCCTTGGGGTTAAAAAATGCCATCCAGTTCAACCAGCATTTGACATTTTAAGAAGGTACTTGTTACTTTACAGAAGTACAAATCCATCTGTATTAAAATAATATAGGTTAACATATTAGCCAAATGGAAGGGGTCTTGCTCTGTTGTCCCACCGATCTCCATTTAAAAAAAAAAATAAAATCCCCCAGCAGTGCAGCTAGTATGTTGTAAAATCAGTACTGAGATAGCTGCGTAAAAGTGTAAGTGCAAACTGGCCAACGCACCACCCAAATGTGGTGCCCCTCTGCCAGACAAGGATCCCTGAAGATCAAAGTCACCTGTTTGGAAGGCAGAATCAGAGGTAGAGCACACCTGCCCACAGACCTGTTGCGTTTCAACCCAAGAGAGGTTAGTTTCCATGTACAGTCAATTCTTGACCTCTGTTGCAAGTCTCAACAAAAGGGGCCGATTAGTTTCAGATACGGCAGTAAATGCTGCAGTGTGCTCTCCGGCCACGGGCAATCTGACCGAGAGCAGCATTTCAGCTCGTACAGAGCAGCAACCAGTCCCTGACGGGAGCGGCTCCCTCTCGCTGCAAAGGCAGCTTGGATTCCAACCTGCATCCTCGTGCTGGAAGGGTTTTTCAGTCTCATCCTTTGACTCCATCCCTCAGCTATCCTGTCGCTATAACGTTTATTTCCTTCCTTTCTCTCACTCCTTCTCCCTTTCCTCAGTTCTTCTGTTCCCCTTTTTTAGCTTGGTGTGAAGGCAAGGTCTTGTGCAAATAAAAGAGCGGTTTTGGTCTCATTTAATGCAAGTTAAGCTGTCTGTACTGTAACTATTCTTGGTAGTAAGAATGCTCTTCATTCAAGTCAGCACAGCCTTCTCTGGAGCCAAGAAGTATAAGGCCTTGTGGAAATAACAGAAGTCGACAGTTCCAGAGCTGATAAATGTCATTCCAAATTGCCCCTTCATTCACTTTCATTGTGTGTTCAGGCTAACCGTAAATTAATCGGAGGTCACAGCAGCTTGGTTCTCATAAAGGAGGATAAGTAAACAACTTTCAGCTACCATATGTATTTATAAAATGATATGACTTCACTGTTTCATCCTTATAACATTTTTACTTCTGTTATTTCAAAAAGCATTCTCAAATCCTCACTGGAAGTCAAACACATGAAAAATTCAGTCAGATAGTTTAAAAATCCTACGTTAGATCATGAGTTGATAATAATTTAAGTACTTCTCTTCACCACAGTGGAACCACACTGATTTATTCCTTGGGAGTCTAAAAAATATCTGGGAGACAGGTAATAATATACATTTGTGTTAAGTGTGAAGATGACTGTTAGGATCTTCACTCCTATACTCAGTGAGCCATTTTCCTCTTTTTCCTATTTGCAGACATAAATTCAAAATTCTCTGCTCTTCTAGTCTAAATCAAGACCTGTACTGTCTTCATTATTGATTTGCACCTGCGTAACCACATGAAGAATCAGGTGTTGGCCTTCCTTTATTTTTAACTACAAAATCTCCAAGCTAACAGTCTGCCACATTACAGACGAGCAGGCTTCACTCTCCGTTACATCAGGGCTGTGCGTAAGTGCAGCATGACAGCTAGGGCAAATAAGAGTAATAAAAGGAAAAAAATAGATGTAGAATGTTCACTCTAGGTAGATGGTATCTTTCAACAGCCAGGAGATTTGATTTTATACAGTGGGATAGCAGAATCTAGAACTACTCCCTGCACTTAGTTTTTATTAGAGAAAGCTCAGTATTGATTGGTCCGTGCCTTTTTCTGACATGCAGTTATTCTAAGATGCCATTGATAATGATTTTTTTTCAAGCCAGTATTTTTTAAAAAGTTAAACGAAGTCAAACATTTAATTATGTATCAGCCAAAACGATTAATACTTTGACCAGAGGATGTTAAGACCCAAAAGGCTTGTAATAATATAACCATGGATGTGACAAAGTAAAATATGATCTTGATTAAAGGTTAAGAAATGTTTCCTTTAAAGTAGCTCATTTGTCTAACAAAACAAAACACACACAAAAAAATAAATGTAGAGAATAAAGCATAAGCGAAAGCACACGACGGAGGGCTAATAAAATGAAGTACCCACAGCAAGAGCAAAGCATTGATAAAGAGATTCCTATCCCCTGTATTACAGCTGTGTCAGAAGAGTCGCTGTGTTAGGGAGAGCTGGTAGTTTGCTTCCCAGGACTGGAAGACTGCCATTAACCAAAACTTCGGAGCTCCTTGATTTGCTCTGGATTTTTTTCCCAGCTGATCTCTAGACATGCAAGGGAAGAAGTAAGAACCCTTCACCCACACAAGAATTTGAAGGGTAAACAATATCTTCCAAAGCTGTATTTTGTAGTTTCACTCAAGCTGGATTTGTATAACTTCGAGATTTCATACTTGAAATCAGACTTCGGAAATCCCCAGATATAAGTGCCTGAAAAGCAATATTTAAGCAGAAACACTGCTGGTAAGATGAGTGTGCATCACACTGCTTTTATAAGGTTTATATGGTCCTTTGAAAAGGTAAAATGCTAGGTAAACACAAAGCATTTGTAAATATGGGAGGGAAAAATGCAAGAGAGAGAAAAGAAAAGGATTTGGTCGCAGTCATACAGTAACGTAGCAGCAGAGTTTCAGATAGACCCAGGAATTCTGACTCACATTCCCCAGTGTTGCAAACAGTTGGCTGAAGTGGTGTCTTTTCTAAACCTTTCAATCATGCTGTCTCTGTTTACCTCCTCCTAAGATAAAAGGTTAATTTATCTCTATGGAGAATGGATATGGGAAAAGAAGGGAGTAAAATCTGATTTTGAGAATCTCTGTAAACCGTTTATTAAAAATGGCACTATTTCAACACCAAGAGTCAAATATAAGACTGACAGCCCAGATGAACGAACCCATCTCAGAGAAAAAGGGTGGTAGTAGGGAAGAACCAGGTGATTCATTTGGATTTCATAAACTCACTTCATTTCACATATTTTGAAGATTAGTATGTTATTAAGATACAGTTACTGAATTATTGTACTGTCATTTAAATCCGAGTGCTCTATCCCACTGTGGCACACACTGAAGATC